AACTTTTCAAAACATTACTAGGGTTTTAGAATTTAACATTCTAATTAAACTTTTAATCAACTTTTAAATTCCAAAACTTGAGGGCAAGTTTTGAAACCTTTTTCAAAACATTAGGGTTTTAACTATTTAAATTTCAAAACTTCAAAACTTTTGGGTTCAAATTTAAACTATAAAACCTAAAGGGGAAAATATGAAACTTTTCATAACAACAAGGATCAAATAACAAATAATCTAAACTAACATTTAATTACATAATTATCCATATTTGATTTGTTTAATGATTTCTTGCAAAACAATTTATCAATTTACTCAAAATAATTAATCAATTATCTTATAAGGAAACAATTATCTTATTAATTGATAATTATCTTTAATTAGATCAAGAATATAGTCATATATATCATAAAATCGGATTTATATTGATCTAACATGATAAGGTAACTATCCATATGCAAAAACAGCAAGAAATCCCGAGATAAGCATTATCTGACGAGTTGACTCGTCGAGTCAGGCATGGACTCGTCGAGTCTGCATGGACTCGGCGAGTCCAGCCTCCAGAATCCAAAAAATCGAATTTTCCAGTTATACAATGCATCAATACAATTGAAACCAAGCTAGGCTCTGATACCACTGATGGGTTTTGGTCATAAGACATCCTATGTGCTCATACAAACCCTAATGCTTGGATCTAGGTTTCTCTATTGTACATGCTTTGAATCCAAGACTATAAACCCTAATTCTAGCATACAAGTAATCATATTAATATGTAATTAGGTTTAAGATCATACCTTGATTGTTATGTAGCAATAACAATCCCAATCTCCTTGTATTGACTTTGGAAGGCTTAGAGTCACAAGTGTCACTCCTCTAATGGTTCACAAACACCATAAGCAAGAGGATGAAGAGGAGAGAGGTTGGAGGCTGCCAAAAACGTGTAGAAACCCTAACAAGAAGCTTAGCCACGTTTTTGAGCCTTAAGGGGTCTTTATATAGTTGGGCTATTAGGGTTATCTAACAAGGAAACCCTAATTTGGATGCTTAAGCCCTAAGCAACCTATAGACTCCTTTTAATCAAGCCCTTGGACGATTTCCTTATGGGCTTCCCCATAGAATTCGTCCAACCCTTGATACAAGGCAATCCATGGCCCAAATTGCAATTATCTTATAATTACAATTCCAGTCCCTTAAGTTTAATTAATCTCTTTTAGTCACAAAACTAATTACCAATTAATTATTGACTAATATTAATTAAACAATATGATTTCTCCTTTAATATATTATTCCCATAATATACTAATAAATCACATTTAATCCTTTCTCTCCATAATTCATCATATCAAGTTGCTTTGGTGAAGGCAACCTAAAAGGACCATGCACCATCGGGTCAAGTACATACCAAAATAGTTATGGACTTAGACACTAATCCAACATAAATACCCTCAGATCAAATAACTGACCTACCCCTAGTCCAAGGTCAACTCCTTGGTCACAGTCAACTTCCAATTGACTGGACTCGCTGAGTCATGGCACAGACTCGCCGAGTCCTTCTCCTACTAACCTGATCCTGCACGCCAAGTCCCTCTTCCCAAAAAAATCGTGTATTTTTGATGACGTTGTTGAGAAATCATTCTTTTGTATTTCTAATAGATGTAGTAGGGTAAGGTAAAATTGGACGGAGTGGCTTCATAATCCCTATCTTGCTACTTCTCTCATGTAACTTTTCTAGCTTCTTACTAGATTTTGTTTTTTTAATAATATTTTTGTGCCGTTCCAAAAAAAAATTTCTTCTCCCATTTATCTTCATTTCTTCAACAACAAAATAATAATAAGAGCATTAAGAACATAATTTCCAGAAATTTTTTTGAATGAACATCAGCAACAAATTTATTCCCCACCTCCAAAATTCTCCTGTTCCCCCGTCCCCGAAATCTCTAGCCTCCCCATGCCCACCACCGCTCTCGAATACCCGGATTACCCCTGTCACCGTTTCCCCGCCCTCATTTGTGTGTGTGTGTGTCTTTTTTTTAATGGCAAAAGAAATTGTTTTTTTTGGCTAATTTTTTTTGTTCGAAAAGAAGATATCTTTTGGGTAAAAACAATTATTTATGTTAAAATTTACATGTTAAAAACAAAAGCAGTATATTATCTAGAAACGTTACAGGAACAACTTAAAAACATGGTATTTTCTTGAATTTTGGAAGATTAAAATCATTGTTATTATTTTTATATTTATATAATTAATATATATTAATATAAATAATATATTAACGGAGAGCCCATTGGAGGTTCGGGACGAAACATACCATCCCCGCCCCCGCATAAGGACGTCAACGGGGGCAAACAGGACGGGGAATGCATCCCCCGCCCCCGCCCCCAAAATTTTCATGTTCTCCCACCCCCGCCCCCAAAATCTTCATCCTTTGCACCCCGCCCCGCCCCCGAATTCCCCTTCTGACCCCCGCCCCCGTCCCCATCCCCGATTTTTTTTCAACAAATGCCCCATACGGGACGGGGCCCCCACGGGATCGGGGTCCCACATGACTTTTTTACATCCCTATCCCCGCACCGCCCCTGCCATGATTTTTTAAACAAATACTTCATGTATCTCAAAATAATAGTTTACAGATAAAAAACACATATATTAAGAAAAAAATAATTATGACTAACTTTATTGAATAAAATGACAATTTTACTTTTTCAAGCTAACTTTTCCCTATAATTTTTTCCTATCACTTTTTAGTTCCCTTCATTTTTATCATAAAAGATAGATGTAGATTTGCATTAAACCAAATTATTTCCATTAATTTTTGAGCCAATTATTTTTATTGAAAATAAACATGAAGCCAATTTATGGGTTAGATTTTTTCAAGATACGATCCTTTTTGACATCCTTCTTAGTAAATAAGTAGTTTGGTGGTAATTCAAGGCCTACCTTTTTAATCGTATAATGTAGTTACATAAGTACTTTCCTGCTGCAAATACAACCAAATCCTTCTTAATAAATGAAGATTTTTTTGTCATATGTCAATCTTTCATGAGTTTTGACACTTATCATTTTGTGGTATTTTTAAAATAAATAATATCCACATGTCAATTTATGGTTTTTTTTTTTTAAATTTTAAATTAAATTAAAAAGTCGCATAATCTTATACTTATATATGTAAAGTATCAAATGTAATAAATATTATAATAAATTGCAATTAATATGTTTCTTCATTTCTTATTTTAAAATTTTATTTTAAAAAATACTTATTATTTATATTTTAATATTTTATTTTCTTTAATTAACCCGTGTAATACACGAGTTTTACACCTAGTAATATAAAACACTTAAACAATAAAATGCTCTAAAAGAGAAACATTGTTACCTTGAAGTTACGATAAGTCATAGGGCTGTCAAATATGTACCACGGAGAACCAACCAATATATTACCAACCGAACCAAGAAAGTTGGTTACCAATATATTTGGTAGCCAACATATTTGGTTGGTAGTACCGTACCAATTCAATAAACTTGGTACCGTAACGGTATTAAATTTTAAATACCACGGTATTACCGTACCAACCAATTCACACACACACACACATATATATATATATATGTATATATATATATATATATATATATATATATATATATATATATATATATATATATATATATATATATATATATAAACGAAATAGTATTTTTAAATGTCAAGTGTTTATTGTTTATGATTTTAAAAATTATGATATTAGACATTAGATTTAATCAATAGTTATTACCAGATTAGATAAAAAAAATGAAAAATCCCTTATTTTTTTTAGTAACTAGAATAGTTAATTTACTAATTTATATTACTCGACGAGAAAAGTGTCCCGTATCGTTACTAGTGTTTAACTATTACAATTGAAATTTTGAACAAAGTTGGTAATATATAATTACCAAATTGTACCAACCAAACTTATTGGTAGCCAAACAAGTTGGTACCAAGTATAGTTGGTACGGTACTGGTAGAAAAAAATTCATACCAACTGTAGTTGGTATGGTACACAGTTTGAGTAAAAATCAACTGGTATCGTTCAAATATTAGACATACATCTTTTGCCAAAATTTGCATCGGTCCACAGTTTCTTAGTCTTTGTTATTAATCCACGATCGCAACTTACTATTTTATTTAGCTCATAATCCCAAATATAATTACTAGTGTAGTGATTTTGATATCGATACCAAAGAAAATTCTGATCATATTTTGAAAATAAAAGGGAAAAGGCTTTTAATCGTATAATGTAGCTTACAAAGCATTAAGCTAAATAACGACAAACCTACTTAAAAAAAACCTACATATTAATTTTACCGCATCAAATCCAACATAACAATTAATAACCATATAAATTTAATTCTAATTTCAATAAAAGAATAATTTTTTTTTTTATCATGTGTTATGGTATTAGACATTTTAATTAATGTGATGCTATTATCAAATTATTATCAAACTATTTATTCTTCATTTCAAATTTTAAATATTAAATTTTTTTATTTTAATTATATTAAATTAATAGTATTAGATTAAAAATTAAACTAAAATTAATGCAAATTATAACGTAATTATAACTATATATAACTAAAAATATCTTTAATTAATAATTTATTAATAATTTTAAATTTTAATATAAAATTTTAATTAATTTTATAAATATAATTTTTACGGGTCAGATTAGTATACTCTATTCTACCGGGGAAATCAATGAATATCACAAAATTTAAAATCTAATTTACTAGATGATTTAAAATTAAAGAACTATCCAATCACAACGCAGTATGCTAATTTTATCATTAATCTTAAAATATACATTAAATTGTCTGTGGATCCTTATCTTTCACGAATTGATTTTGTTATGATTTTTCCCTCTAAAATCTCAGATCTCAACGCTACACTCCAACCCTAACATTGTTTTTCTCCCCTACCGATCTTTACAAGAATCACACTTTCTCCACCAAAATCATCACCATTCTCATGGCTTCCAGCTTCCTTCCTTTCCTCCTCCTCCTCCTGTCGTTCTCCCAAATCTCCGCCGCCAATCCCGTTCCTAAAGCCACAATTTTCCGGCAACAGCTCACCTCCGATCCCACCACCACTAACGACATCCCACCCACCACGTTCTTTGAAGTAACGAAACCCATCCAACTCCCAAACACAAAACCCTGCTCAACCCTTCTTCTACAACATGATTTCGGATATACTTACGGCAGTCCACCAGTCTCCGCCCAATACACCCCGCCGTTTAATTGCCCATCAACCGATTTTGCAAAAATTGTTCTCGAATGGACAGCTACATGTAAAGGTCGTCAATTCGATCGGATTTTTGGGGTTTGGCTCGGCGGCGTTGAGCTGCTCAGAAGCTGCACAGCTGAACCTAGAGCCACCGGGATTGTTTGGACTGTGAAGAAGGACATTACTAGGTATTATTCATTGCTTATGTCGAATCAAACACAAACACTCGATGTTTATTTGGGCAATATTATTGATAGTACTTACACTGGTGTATACCATGTGAATGTTAGTATTCATTATTATCCCTTCGAGAAGAAACCTGTTAATTCGAATCATGCCCATAACGAATGGGCTGATTTGATCATACCCATTTCAAGAAACTTACCAGGGAACGATGGATTATGGTTCGAAATCCAGAATTCAACTGATGTAAAGTCAAAACAGTTTGCGATTCCCCAAAATGCATATCGAGCTGTTCTTGAAGTGTATGTCTCATTTCATGAAAACGATGAGTTTTGGCCTACAAATCTCCCTAACGACTATATTTCTGCTAATAATTTATCTGGGTATCCTGGTGATGGACCTTTTAGAGAGGTTATTGTAAGTTTAGATGGAAAAATAATTGGTGCAGTTTGGCCTTTCACTGTAGTTTTCACAGGAGGTGTTAATCCATTACTATGGAGACCAATTACAGGGATTGGATCATTCGATCTCCCTTCATATGATATTGAAATCACTCCATTTCTTGGAGCACTTTTAAATGGAAAACTCCATGATTTTGGTTTTGGTGTCACAAATGCTTTGAATGTTTGGTATATTGATGCAAATTTACATGTATGGTTGGATGCAAAGAGTGAGAAGACAAAAGGGATGTTTTTGAATCAAAAAATCTCTCCACTTCATGAATCTTTGGTGTCCAATTTCACGGGTCTTAATGGGACATTTCTTACTAGTGTCCAAAGGTCAATAAAGTCAAGTGGATGGGTAGAATCGTCATTTGGGAAGATAGTAACCGAGTCAAAACAGGATTTCAATTACACTAACATCATGGTGATGTCGAAAAATGGGGATTTACAAATTGTGAACCAAATAATCGAGTTTAATGATAGTGTGGATTCCAAGATTCCATCTTTTGTTCATAACACAAAATCTTTGAAAACTTTTTCTTTTTATATTTACTCGGATACACTAGACAAAGGAAACAAAAGCTATGATCAGGTGGCGAATGTTACTTTGGGTTTCAATGAGAAAAAGATCGATAATTTTGGTTCTAAATCTTCATCAAGTGTTCTTGAAAACATACAAAATGGTCAAGGCTCGATGCTTGTGAAAGGGAATTTAGTTGTTAGTGGTTTGGGGAGTACACAAGAGATGTATAATTATAGTGATGATAAATTCTGCTATTTTAGGGACATAAGTAGCTCAAATTACACAATTATTTATGATAAAGAGGGAGATACATGCACTAAATCGAAAAAATCAAGATTCAATTTTTCAACGGGTAAAAGTTTGCATTTTCCTGCTTGAAGAATTTTTCTAGCATCGGAACATCATGAAATTTAAAGGGTATCATCACTTCATGATCTTTATGTAAGGGGTTTAAGTTGATTTGTATTGTTGTTGTTGTGATATGTTGTGTAAGAATTAGATTTAAGAATTTAGATTGATGCAATTATGATGGTTTTGTGAAAATTTGAGCAAGTAATGGAATAATTGGGTTGTGGTTTTATGGAGGAATTGGTTACATTATAAAATTTAAAGAAACTTATGGAAATTATGATCAAATTTGACTATGTTTTCTAGGTCTTGAAGTGGAATGCATGATGGCACCTTCTTTCCTTTTATGCATTATCGAAGTGATTATTATCATATGAATAATGAATAATACGATTAGTGGATTAAAGCTATGGGTAGCTAGGTAAGTTTACATTTATCTAAATAATATGTTTTCTTATGGAAAACTCCATGTTTATGCAGATATGATTAAGCCTTAAAATATAAATAATTATAAACATTATCAATTTCTCCAAACGTAAAGTTTCTGCCAATACGGAGTCAAAACACTGTAATATTGACAAAATTGCAAGAATGGTCCTTGTGGTATGTCGAAAATTGCTACTGTGGGCCAAACAAATTTTGACTAACACTAATGGTCCAAAAGTTTCTATTTTATTGCGATTTTGGTCCATTTTGATTTGATTTTTTTATAAAATGACGATTTTGTCAATTTATATTTGTTTTTCGCTTTTCTTTTTGTTATTTAATTATTTTCCTAACTAAAAAATAAAAATAAAAGAAAAGAAAATAATCTCTCTCTCTCTCTCTCTCTCACACACACACACACATAGAAAAAAATATCACCACCAGTCAAAGTTATAAACGTCACCATGACCACCGATCAGTACCAACACCGCCTTTAGTCCCACCGTCGATATGAGTTACATCTCCCGACCACCACCGAAGAATCAAAACGTCGTTGCCATCTTCCCCAACAAACCCATTTCACGTCACCTTCTCAGGCGACCATCTTCCTCAGCAAACCCTTCGATCCCAATGATGATTTGATGGGTGTTACATATCCGTAAGGAGGGGTGCCATGAGGCGACGACTATTTGAAGATTAACATAACATAAGGACGGCGAGACTGAGGAAGATGGAGATGCCATTGTTCGAAAAAAGTGAGCTTACTAGGTCTGAAGTCCAACGAACAGATCTGAACTCTTGTTAATGATGAAACATCAGAGATGAAACGAAGGTGGCAACAAAGTAGGGTTTGCTGACAAAGATGGCGACGCTGGTGGTCCAACGACATACGTTAGTGACAAACAGATCTAGCGCCAGAAATCCAAATCAATGAAGATGGTGATGTTGTGGTTAGGTGGAAATCCAAATTGATGAAAATGATGGCGGTTTCAAGATGAATATAACACAAGCACTAGTACTGTCGGTGTTCATGGGTAATGAGGGTTTGCAAACGAGGGTTTCAGATCTGCCACCTAAGAATCAACAAGCTTTGTCTTTACAAAACACAAGCCCTACCACCGTTTCTAACCGTCCCCACCATCTCTCAATTCTCCTTGCTCCATCAAACGACCCTCAAGTGAGCTTCAATCGAATTTGAAAAATAAAAGGAGACCCTAGTGTTTTTAGAGGCTGCCACCATTCTTGTTTCATGAAACCATAAGGTTTTCAAAGGTTGTCGCCACTACAATCCATAGCTTCAATCTATGTGTCGCAGCCTGGAACTTTCACTAAAAAAATGTCATTTAGTGGCATAAAAAGTGCCGCTAAAACCACCTAAAAGTTGTCACTAAAAGCTTCTTATAGAATCGGCGACACACATAATAAGTGTCACTAGAAATGCTCACACTAAAGACTTTTAGTGACACCTTTTGCTTTTGTCACTGCAATTTTTAGGCTTTTAGTGATACTTTTTAATTTGTCACAATAGAAAAAATGTTTATTATGGCATATATTTTATGTCATTAATGCCTGATTTGACAAAATAATCTTTAGTGACACTTTTTTAGTTGCCATAAAACTATATATATATATATATATATATATATATATATATATATATATATATATATATATATATTATGAAATACAAAAATTTTATCAATAATATAAAATAAAATAAAATAAATTTTCATTCTGTTTAACGAAACAAACAACATTTTTCTTTTCATTTCAATAGAATAACCATTTCCATTCCTTCCATCATTCCATTAAAACAAACATTACCTATAAGAAAAATTAAATGTTTTTCCAATGTTGCAAACGGTTAGATATTCAAATAATTATTTGTTTGGCTTTCTAAGCCATTATTATCACTATAAAGCCTATCTTTCACAGCTTTTAAGTTCAATTCAACTTCACTTGTTGTCTACTATGACAAATCAACAAGAAGCTCAAGGTAACCACGTAAGCAGCACATTAAAAAAGTAGTCTCATCAAATTATATTCCATTATTCTTTGAGTAACATACATTGTTAAAAATGGAAGTGAGTTATTATGTGTTTACCACAAATCACCAATCACAAACATGGCTAATTTTCCACATAACTAGTCCTCCAAGATCTCATAGTTCTTTCTTGCCAAAAAATTCAAATCCGATCATCATATCAACCAAAAAAATGTGTTAGTTAAGTCAAAGCAGTATTCGATACTCTTTAACTTATTATATGGATTTACTTCATTTCAGCTTAGACAATAGAAATATAAATTACTTTATATTTTCAACCATGGATTTGTATTTATTCATTGCTACTTATAGTTGTCTTGATAACTTGTAAATTTCAAAAAACATATATATAAATGATTACTACATTATCAATAATTTCACAATTTTCAAGCCTAAAAGAGGGTTCCAGAATCTATAGCACATGTTGTGGTGCAAAACATAAATCATGGATCGATCTCATAACCTAAAAATATAAAAGTAGCATGTAAGGGTAAATATTTTCATGCATAAGTATAGTAGGAGAAAAAATATCTATATTTTAGAACATATAAAATGAAAATTCAGTCTACGAAGCCTCTTAGTAAGAGCAACATGGCATCCAAATGATCCCTTTATATGAATGAGCTTCATCAACCATCATATATATTGTATACATATAACCTAAAATATATGATTAATACTTATCAAGAAACTGCTCAATGCAATCAGATATAACTTTCAAATATTACATGAGGTTTGATAAGAATTGTAAGAACTAGTTATGAAATGATAAGATTCACAAAACTTAGTAGAATGAGCCAGTTACTAGATAGAAATTTGATTCCCAGATAACCATGCTCTTAGTTGATCTTATGCCAAGGCCTACATAGAGTTCTTTCCAGCAAGCGAAACCCCAATTTACTGTTCCTATATATACCACATGAACTTTTATTATTAAAAAAGATGTCATAATTTGTATTGCTTTTCAATTCAAATCTATGTTTGGTGGATGAAGATGATTCGTACGTTAATTCTATGCAAAGTGAAATATTTGCCCTGCCCTAACAACCGAGAACCTCTATCAGGTTTAGTGATGAACTATATATAATGATAATGATTCTGAATTTTCTAATAAGAAAAGGAAGGAGTTTCCAGTTAGTAAGAAATGAAAGAGTCAAAGAGATGTAGAAAAGGTAGAGATAGTATCTTATTACAGATCATAATGTCACTCTAGCAAAGGTACATTGATTTAGGCACAAGGGTAAAAGGAAAAAACTTGGGAGTTATGTTCATATTAATAATTAATAACTATAACGATAAATAAAAAACACAAAGCAAGGTGAAAGGGAAATTGAAATAATAAAAATAAAAAATAAAAAGAAAAAGCAGTTAACCTTCTAGAATGTATGTATATATCCTAGTGAAGAAATAAGAATTTTGAGATGTTTTTCTTTAGATAGACCTATATTAATTGAATTAATTGCATTAGCAGATTCAATACGCTTGATTGACTATTGAGGCCTTGTTTCATTTGTTTGTTAAAGAAATAATATGAAATTATACGAAAATAGAAAAAAGATTATATAGGTAAGAAATTGAAACATTACCTTTATTATGTTTAATATAATGATGGGCTTCCCATATATCTTGGCAAGATTCTAAAATGAAGTCTAGTAGCTTCATAGTTTTGGTCCTTCCTTGATACTAAAAGATTAATGTCAGTTAACAGATTATATCAAAAACATATATTAGTTCAAAGAAACTGATTAATCATACACATAATATATGGTTTAATATTCAAGCGTAGAGTTTTTTGTGACAAAAAAGTAGTACACATCCACAATTTTGTACAACTGAATGATAGAAAAAGAAGTCCTTTGTAAGATCCACCATGCATAGTAGCTTCTTGTATCTATAATAAGAAAAAAACCTTAATATAAACAAAGTACAATAATGAATGCAATGTATGAAGTAATTAAAAACATTACCTATTTTTGTGTCTCCAAGTAGTCAAAGGTAGTCAAATTTATCTGAGTTGTAGAATCCGATAGAGCTATCATTCCGGTCTTGGAGATTGCATATACTATGTGGCCACCAATTGAGCCAATTAGCCTTCTTTGTGTAATTAGCAACATGTAGTATGGTCCATGAAATTTAACGAAACCTAAAAAAGATAAATCATACTAAATACATGATATGAAACGTATATATATGCTTGAAAACATATATGTACATACCAACAACTTCATAAAAAGTGGTGATAAACTTGAGCCCCTTATGGATTTATTACCCTCATAAATCCTTCTTAAGAGTTTAGAACATTCACATTATGTATAAGTTGATAAATCCTCACAAATGTTAGGATCATAAGCCTCTAACCTGTCAATTTCCAATAACCTATCAATTTTAAGAACATAATGAACTTCATTCATGTCGAATATTATCACGAGGAAGAGAACATATGAATAAGTAATCAAAAGGAATGGTTTGACTTCTGAAATAGTTCAAAAGTGCACATTGGCATATGAAACACAAGTCGTTTAGAGAGTACCGATCGATTCTCGTAAATCCTGAACTTTTGCAGAAAAGCGAATAGAGTACCATAGGGAGGTGGATGGCTTATCAAGAGGAACATCAGAATCGTTTTCTGAGGCGACAATTAGACAAAAATATAGTATCGATTATTCAAAAAGAGGGGATATATGCTCATTATCTGCAACCATCGCTATTATTATTAGATTCTTGTCCAATCTAGATCTGAGCCTCATCCTCAAGGATAGGTTCAAAAATCAAATAAGAAGAGAATTCAAATACAATATAACATTCCTTTCTAATTCTATGTTTTTCTACTTCTCCAATTTTTTATTTTCCCTTCAGGATTACAATCTGGCATGTGAAGATGTCAAGTAATCTTCTTGGTAGTCATGTATATCTTGTGAATTATACCTTGATCTCGAACCAGGGGAGATACGGTTGGAACAAGGCAGATGAGTGCTGAGCAATGCCGACGAAAGACCATGTCGATGATTGATGAATTGGGAAGAGAGGTTGTGGATTTTCCCTCTTCAAAAGCTCTTCCCTAATTAAAATATTTTCTCACCTAATTTTTTTTCCACTGAGAGATCGTCGACTAAAATCGGAAAAAAGAAAGGGAAATGAAAATAAACAACCTCTTCAAGACGTATAAGTAAAGCACATAAATAGAATTGAAATAAAAAACTAATACCATAATACCTGTAGTAGCATAAAAAGATTGGTTAATTCATAAAAAATAAACATTCAATCGTACATAATTATCTATATAACATAAAATCTATAGCTTTTAGTGTCATTATGTCCCTAATACATGTGAATAGTAACGGCATAAAATATTAAACGTCATTAAATCTATCAATTTTTATAGTGGCATATAAAATATGGCACCACTAAAATCATAATATAGTGGCATAAAAAACTTATGCTATTAAAAGTGTATGTCACTAAATGTCATTTTATTTGTAGTGTTTTAGGGTTAGGGTTTTGGTGTCAGAGCTTCGATCTTTTTCTACCAGTGGTGTTCATCTTTTATGCCAGTGGTTAGGCTTTCCCGCGAGAGTGAAGCTTGGGGGAGGGAGTGAGG